CTTACATGGAAATGTGTTTTGCATGACTACACATGTATTACCTATGTCAAATTGCTTGCCTTCTCAATGAGGGGAGAGAGGGAGAGATTTTGGAACTCAAGATTTAAAAAAAAAATGGAATGTTAAAATTGTTTTTACATGTAATTGGGAAAAAGTAAAATATTAAATAAGATTTAAGAAAAACACTCATTTTATGCCTCTCTGATGTTAAATTCATTTGGCAATGTTATCTCTGTGGTTGCATCTATCAGGCAATCCTGTCTGATCTTAACATATGCATGGGAGACTTTTTTTTTTAAATAGTCTTTAAGGCTGAATTTTGCTCTTCCAAGACAAAAGGATTTCTTTCTTTCTTTCCTTTTCTTTTTTTTCAATCACCAAACAATAAATACAGCAAGATCTTATATTTTTTGCCTCTCAGTCAATCATATGACAACAAAGATGTGGACTGCTACAGAAAATTGCAGAAGCCTGCCTGTTCCTTTTCATGTTTTCATCAAGGATACCCTTGATAGGTATAATACAAAAGAATACCAAGTGTGTAAGAGATCTGTAAACAAAATGCTATGTTTGTCTTCTCAGGGGCAGGAGCAAGGCTGTGGGAAGAATAGTCCTTTCCCCATGAGTATAGGGTCAGTTCTGACCTTGGATGAGAAGAGGTGTTTCATCTCACTGCCTGCTACTTTTCATGAAATATCTTTTCTTGTACTTTGGTGAAGTTCAGAACCATGGCTAGTGCAGCCCCACACACTGTGTGTCATTCTCCCACATCTATTGAAATGGATAGTTTCCTTTGGGGCTCTATCCACCCCCAACCTGCTTCTGCACCTCACTCCTTCCTTTTTAGGTGCCCTTATTCTAACTTATCTGTATATGCTGTCTGCTTTGGTACTTTGTGTAAGGTTGTCTCTGCATGAACGACATGTACTTTCCCTCCTTACCTCCTTGAGTTCAAAACTTAGACACTTTATGCCCATTCTCTCAGAGTCTTACTAAGTAACCATGGATGATCTGAGAAATGATTAATTAATTAGATTGCCTTCAGTTACTTGATAAAACTCTAAGAGAATAGACATAAAACAGCTGAGTTTTGAAAGCAAGGTGGTAGGAAGTGAATATATTAATGGCAAAGTGACTGATAACGGTATCAGTGTAGCATAGTGTAATGAGAACTGTGTTTGGAATCAGAAGATGATCATTGAGAGGCCCAGGTTCAGACTTGCCACTTGATACCTTGACTGATAATTTTGTTCAATTCGCTTTCACTTCTTCTGCCTCAATTTCCACATCTGAAGAGTTAGGTGGATGGAACTGAAGAACTGTAAAATGCTTTCTAAAAATTCCTATGCTGTTTTTTTTTTCCTAAAATGATCATACAACTTTCTAAAAAATATCTCATCATCCTATGACAGGTTATCTTTCTGACAGAGTAAGTTCATTTTAACAGAGATCTTCAGCTCCTTAAGCCAAAAGAGGTGGGATTTTCAGGTCCTTGTAGCAGGGTCTAAATGGGGGAAGGATTGCTTTAGATATGACCCTCTCAAATGATGCTTCATAGGATTCCTCCATCTATGAGTAGCCCATAGGAAAGGCCTTAATTGGTCTTAGGTAGCTGGTTAATGAATATCAACATTCTAGAAGACTTAGAATTTAACATCCACTGATCTTCTAGTATGGAGCTCTCCAGAGTGGTATTCCCAATCACGTCCTCCAAACATGCAAAGATTCCCAACCATGTTCATTCCTGTAGGCTTGCAAACAAAGTGGGCCCCTTAGAGTAGGAAAAATGGGGGGGGAGAACTTTTTTTTCTGGAAAAAGTTCTATTTATTTATTTGTTTTTAGTTTTCAACACTCATTTCCATAAGATTTTGAGTTCTAAATTTTCTCCCCCTCCCTTTGCTCTCCCTTCCCTAAGATGGCAAGCAATCTGATATAGGCTAAACATGTACAATCATAGTAAACATATTTCCATATTAGTCAGGTTGTGAAGAAGAATTGGAACCAAAGGGAAAAGCTGCAAGAAAGAAGAAATGAGAGAGAGAGAGAGAGAGAGAGAGAGAGAGAGAGAGAGAGAGAGAGAGAGAGAGAGAAGAAACAGTATGCTTCAATCTGCTTTCAGGCTCCATAGTTTTCTGGCATTTTCCATCATTAGTCTTTTGGAACTGTCTTAGATCCTTGTATTGCAGAGAAGAGTTAAGTCTATCAAAGATGTTCATCCCAGAATGTTGTTGTTACTGTGTACAATGTTCTTCAGGTTCTGCTCACTTCACTCAGCATCAGTTCTTGTAAGTCTTTCCATGTTTTTCTAAAGTCCACCTGCTCATCATTTCTTATGGAACAGTAGTATTCTATTATGTTCATATACCACAACTGGTTCAGCCATTTACCAACTGATGGACATCTCCTCAATTTCCAATTCTTGGCCACCACAAAAAGAGCTGCTTTAAATATTTTTGTTCATGTGGGTCCTTTTTCCCATTTTTATGATCTCTTTGGGATGCAGACCTAGTAGTGGGATTGCTGGATCAAAGGGTACACACAGTTTTTTAGCCCTTTGGGTATAGTTCCAAATTGCTCTCCGGAGTGGTTGGATCAGTTCACAACTTCATGAATAACACATTAGTGTTTCAATTTTCCCACATCTTCTCCAACATTTATCATATTCCTGTTTTGTCATGTTAGCCAATCTGATAGGTGTGATGTGGTGCCTCAGAGTTGTCTTAATTTGCATTTCTCTAATTGATAGTGATTTAGAGCATTGTTTTTTTCATATTCTTCCATTGAAAACTGCTTGTTCATATCCTTTGGCCATTTATCAATTGGAAAATGACTTATATTCTTATAAATTTGACTCAGTTCTCTATATAATTTAGAAATGAGGCCTTTACCAGAGACACTGGCTATAAAATTGTTTCCCAGCTTTCTGCTTTTCTTCTAATTTTGCTTGCATTGGTTTTGTTTGTTTAAAAACTTTTTAATTTAATGCAATCAAAATTATCAATTTTGCATTTCATAATGTTCTCTGTCTCTTGTTTGATAAAAAATTCTTCCATTCTCCATAGATCTCATAGGTACACTATTCTTTGCTTTCCTAATTTGCTTATAGTCTTACCCTTTACATCTAAATCATGCACCCATTTTGACCTTATCTTGGTATATGGTGTAAGATGCTCGTCTAAGCCTAATTTTGCCATACTATTTTCCAGTTTTCCCAACAGTTTTTGTTAAATAATTAATTCTTATCCCAGAAGCTGGAGTCTTTGGGTTTTATCAAACAGTAGATTACTACAGCTATTAAGTATTGCATCTTGTGTACCTAACTTATTCTGCTGATCCACCACTCTTTTTCTCAGCCAGTACCAAGTCGTTTTGATGATTGCTGCTTTATAATACAGTTTTAGATCTGATATGGCTAGGCCACCTTCCCTTGCATTTTGTTTTTCATTATTTCCCTTGATATTCTGGACCTTTTGTTCTTTTACATGAATTTTGTTACTTTTTTCTAGCTCTATAAAATAAGTTTTTGGTAGTTTGATTGGTATGGCACTAAAGAAGTAAACTAGTTTAGGTAGAATTATCATTTTTATTGCATTAGCTCGGCCTACCCCTGAGCAACTGATATTTTTCCAATTATTTAGATCTGACTTAATTTGTATGAAAAGTGTTTTGTAATTGTGTTCATATAGTTCATGGGTTTGTCTTGGCAAGTAGACTCCCAAATATTTTATGTTGTCTGCAGTTACTTTAAATAGAATTTCTCTTTCTATCTCTTGCTGCTGGGCTTTGTTAGTAATATATAGAAATGCTGATGGTTTATGTGGGTTTATTTTATATCCTGTAACTTTGTTAAAGTTGTTAATTATTTTAAGTAGTTTTTTTAGTTGATTCTTTTGGTTTCTCTAAGTATACTATCATATCATCTGCAAAGAGTGATAGCTTTGTTTCTTCATTGCCTATTCTAATTCCTTCTATTTCTTTTTCTTTGCTTATTGCTAAAACTAACATTTCTAGTACAATATTGAACAACTGTGGTGAGAATGGGCATCCTTGTTTCACCCTTGATCTTACTGGAAATGCTTCTAGCTTATCTCCATTACATATAATGCTTGCTGATGATTTTAGATAGATGCTACTTATTTAAAAAAAAAACAACCTCCATTTATTCATATGCTCTCTAGTGTTTTGTTTTGTTTTTTGGCTTTTAGGCAATTGAGGTTAAGTGACTTGCTCAGGGTCACACAGCTAGTAAGTGTCAAGTGTTTGGTCAGAGGCCAGATTTGAACTCAGGTCCTCCTGACTTCAGGGCCGGTGCTGTATCCACCAAGCCACTTAGCTGCCCCACTCTATAGTGTTTTTATTAGGAATAGGTGCTGTATTTTCTCAAAAGCCTTTTCTGTATCTATTGAGATATCACAAGGTTTCTATTAGTTTTGTTGTTGATATGGTCAATTATGTTGATAATTTTCCTAATATTGAACCAGTCCTGAAATCTTGGTACAAATCCTAACTGGTCATAGGGTTTTATCCTCATAATAAGTTATTGCAATCTCTTTGCTAATATTTCATTTAAAATTTTTGCATCTATATTCATTAGAGAAATTGTTCTATAATTTTCTTTCTCTGTTTTGGCTCTTCCTGGTTTAGGTATCAGCACCATATTTGTATCATAGAAAGAATTTGGTAGGACTCCTTCTTCACCTATTTTTCCAAATAGTTTGTATGGTATTGGAATTAATTGTTTTTTAGATGTTTGGTAGAATTAACTTGTGAATCCATCTGGCCCTGGAGATTTTTTCTTCAGGAGTTCATTGACAGGTTGTTCAATTTCTTTTTCTGAAATGGAGTTAAGTATTTTCTTTTCTTTTCTTTTCTTTCCCGTTAATCTAGGCAATTTATATTTTTTGTAAGTATTCATCTATTTCACTAAGATTGTCAGCTTTATTGACATACATTTGGGCAAATCAGCTCCTAATTATTGTTTTAATTTCTTCTTCATTAGTGCAGAACTTTGTCAAGGTGGAGAAAGCACTGGACTAGGAACTAGGGGACCTGAGTGGAGGACATGACTTGGCCACTAACTATCTGTATGGCTATAGGCAGATTTCTGGGCCTCAACGTTCTCATCTCATAAGGTAAGAGGGTTGGACTAAATGATCATGAAGATCTCTTCCAGTCCTAATAGTTATGGTTATATGACTAACTCAGCCAAAGTGGTCAAGGGCTGTTAGCCCCTAGAATTTATTGGGGTGTCGTCAAATTCAGAGTCCTGTAGCATGCAACAAACCTTACAAATTATGGATGGGTAGAAAGGCCATTCCTAGGGGGAGTGTGGTCCTGAGGAAAAATTATCCTGTATAGGCTCTTCTATCCCCAGACATGTTTGTATTGGTAAATTTGTGTACAAATGAATGCATATCAGTGAAATCTGTGACAAGAAAAAGAAATGACAGAGAGCTAAGCTTCAGCTTGATGGTTCTGTGTGGAAGGGGAAAGCATGGTATTACTGCTCATAGTACATTCAGGCCTAGTCCTGTTCTTATTGCTTTGATAAATGTGGGGAGTTAGTGTGCTGTGGGATTTGTCATTTTGAGCACCATTTGACAGTCTTATCTCTTTCTTATGCTTGGTATCTTCTTGAATTACTGTACAACATTTCTTCATAGCAGTATAACTGTCCCTTCCTCCCCTGAAAAAAAAAACCAAACTTGAGACACTCACCCATTTTTCCCGTTATACCTGAGAGGTGTTTTAGTATGTTTGAGACTGGGCTGAGACAGATATGGAACATCAGCTGATCTGATAATTAAGGCTCCATGATCTTTTTTCTTCTGGGATCACAACATCATAGATCTAATATCTACTGGGGACCTCAGAGGTTATATAGCCCAAGATCCTCATTTTACATGTGAAGAACATAAGGCCTGGAAAGAGTCTAAGTCCCAAGGAGACAGAATGGCATAGCAGAAAGAACACTAAATTTGTTGCCTACGTGTGTGCTGTGCAACCTTTGTGCTTCAGGCTTGAGTCTACTCCTCCCAGGAACCTTTGGTAGGTTTAGGAGGTATGGTATACCAGGGTTGGTGGGGGGATGTTTTGTACCTACCACTTTAATCTTGAACCTACTCTCCCAAGTGTGGGAGGATGTTTTTTGTGTTTCTGTCTCTACTATGCTTTCTCAGTAAATATCTCTTTGTAAAAGCTAATTATTATTAACTAGTTCCTCAATATTAGATTGGTTAATGAATATTGGATTGACTGATCCAGCCCATTGGATAAGAGCTCATGAGAAATACTGTTAGAAGACATAATTCCTCAGGGTTACCCCTAGAATCCTAGAGGAAGGAATAATCAGCCATCTTCTGAGGACCCAATTTGCCTGTCAGAATGGGAAGTGGGAGAATAGCCCTGAGAAGGTGATGTGTAACACAGACCACCTTTGTCCCAACTGTCTAAAGACCAGGTAGGTTAAATTTCACTCTTTCCTCAGTGTGCTTTCTGCAAATGGCTCTCACCCTCATTGATGGTGTTTCCTTCTAAGTTTAGGGGGTGGTCCCTTCCACCCCAGTTCCATTTAGCCACTAACAGTCAGATTAGCTTTTACACAGAAATATTTGCTTCAGAAGGTATAATCACAAATGTATATACTTATTCCCCCCAAACACGTGGGAGAGATAATCCCTTGCTGTCCTTACAACTCAATCCCTGGGGAGGAGAAGGGAATTTGATTCATAGCTTATTGTGGTTCCTATAAAGCACAATTGCAGTTCCAAGTCCGAAGCCCACCTTGGGCTCAAGTCCCAGGCATGCTGGCGTCTCAGGGATTCCATGCCAGGCTGGCTAACTGTATCATCCCACCTGAAATCCTGGTTCCAAGCTCTCCATGGCTCAAAACCCAGCTCCACAGGGATCACCTCCCATACCTGCAACTGAAGAGGACAAATACAGAACAGAAATAAACATCTCCAGGCTTATTTCTTAGAGCTGAGATAAAAGAGAGGAAAGAGGGGAAAGCAAGTCTTTCACCACTTCAGTCCACACTGGGTGTGGCAGATAAGAGTCACTGAAAAGGGTGAAACTGAAAATGGAAAAGAGTGATCAGCTCAATCTTGCCAGTTTTAAAGATGCAAGCAGTTAGTCAAAGGAGGCTACTCACACCCACAGGGTAAGGAACAGAGCAGGCTCTATGTTAGGCAGACTAGGCATGCTCAAAAGGCCCCTCAAAGGCATCTCCATACTAGAACTGGGAATGCCCAGAGAAGCCTTGGTTACACATAATTAAAGGTCACATTTCTACTATGCAACCACTATCACCCCCATTTTATAGATGTGGACACCAAGGCTCAGGGAAATGTCTTGATCAAAGTTACTAGGAAGTAGCAGAACCAAGATTTGAGCCCAAGTCCAATGGACACCTAGTCCTAGTCTTCTATAGTATGTCATGTGCTATGGTTATTAAATGCCCAGATGGGTAGCCCATTAGGAAGGCCATTGACAAGCTGTAGCATGCCTAGAAGAGGACCATTAGGATGATTAGGATCCTCAAAACAATGTCATACATCTTCCTACCTTTCTAGTCTTTCTTTTTACATTTTTACTCCTTTCCATGAATTCTACAATTTAGCAACTCAGGCTTTCTTACTATTCCTTACACACAATGCCTCATCTTCCAACTCCATGACTTTTTAATGGCTATCCCCCATGCCTAGAATGCTCTTCCTCCTCCAGTCAGGAACTGACAAGACATGTGTGGGAATACCCCACTCAACATTATTTATTGGTTCCACAAAAATACTTTGTTGGGCAAACATATTTATTCTAGTGTCCTGCAGCAGTTCAGGGTTCTAAAAGTTTTTGCAGAAGATTCAGGCAGGCAAGTAAATTCTTTAAGCAGCAGGCCTTTTCTAACTGTCTAATGTAACTTATTCCAAGGAAAGCTTAAGGAGACACCTGGACCAAGGACATAGGGCTGAGCAACATGAGAAGGACATAAAGAGAGCAATGGCTAACACTGCCTAATCAGGGCAACCACAAACTCCAAGAAGATCAGAGCTGGAGAAGGCTGTGGCCATGGGCTTAGAGGAACAGGGATGAGTTTTGGCTTTGATGTCTTATTAACTTCCCACCTCTGCTATCAAAGCTGGGAAGTGCTGAGTATTGTCAGAGCCCCAAGTGTACAGGCACTGGATGTGGAAAGTCTAGCATGGATTTTCCCATGAAGCTTTAGGAAAAACAGATGCCAGGCCAGAGGAAAGGGGGCATATTTAGAAGCATTGTACCACAAGAAAAGTTAGGCTTAGAAAATACAGAGGACTCTTTTGGACTAGATCACATTGTTATAGTTAGAAATGGGCAATCTTTAGAATGACATTATGTGGATAAAATGAATTAATGATATTATTATGAAGCAACTTTGGTGAGGGCAATGGAGATATTTACTAACCATCCTACTTTGAAATAAATGGATTTCTTTGGAGAGTGATGGTGATGTAATTAGACAGAGGGAAAAGAAACAAGCATTTATTCCATTCTTACAATGCTTCAGAGCTGCTCTTCATCCACCTTTGGTGTTGACCTTCACTCAATTCTCACCTGTGGCTCCAAGAAGTTATAGCATGTGCAGCAGCCACACTCCAGTAAACTGTTTCAACAAATAGGTTATCTGAGGTTGAGGGTAACTGAGAGGCTTCAAACCCATCAGTTAGTTAGGGGGATGTCTACTCCAAGCACATGAAGACTTCTCTCAGTAGAATGGGTAGATAAGAACAATTTGTTCCAACGGCCATGAAGGCAGCTGAAGCAGGCACTATGGAGCACTTAGAGCTTGGTCAGGCATTGAAGACGACAAACTGATTCACTACCTCCTGGGCTATCTCCACTCATCTTGACTTTTATCCTCCCACAGGACTTTGACGACTCCGGAAGAAAGAGTGAAGCTAATAACTGTGCAATTCTGCCCCAACTTAAATTGAATTCATGAACAAAGCAAGGCATCATTCATGATATTATTGGTTCTCTTTGAAAATGAACAACAAGCAACAACAACGTGCCAGTCACTGTGCTTTACAAATGTTACATCATTTGATCCTCACAATAACCTTGGGAAGTAGGTGCTATTATTATGCTCATTTTACAGGTAAGGAAACTGAGGCATACAGAGACTTGTCTAGGGTCACATAGCCAGTAAGTTCCTGAGGCCAAATTTAACCTTAAGTCTTCTTGACTTTAGGCCCAGTGCTCTATCCAATGCACTACCTAGCTACCTAGATATGTAGTGGTTAGGACAATGGATACTAGCTTGGAGTGTGTGGACTGATTCCTGTAAATAGGCTAGCTGCTCTGTATTAAGGATCCCTGAAGGACAAATCAATGTCACCCTCAGACATGGATTCTTCATCAATTTGATGATCATTTTCTTCTTGTGTTGGGGTTGTCAATATAATTCCTTCTACCGGATAGCCCAGCTTCTTACTCTTCCTGAGGTCCAGATCTATTTTTTTATTTTAATTTTTTTCCAGATCTATTTTTTTCTTGACTTTCTTACCTTTGTGGTTCCTTACTCCATGCAGAATAGAGTCCATAATTACATAGGGTAAGTTCTTATAATGTCTGGTAGGGCCTGGGATATACAGTTGCAATTGTGATTCAACTGGGAGAATGTAGTTTGTCCTTCCATTCCATTCATTCAACATGCATTTTTAAAGCACCAACTTTGTATAAGGCCTTGCGTACAAAGACAAAAACCAGTCTATCCCTGCCCTCAAGGATCTTACAATCCCTTCAAAGAGAAGTAAACACAGTATATATACTGAACTCCTTGTCTCAAGGTCAACGAAACAAAACAAAACAAAACCCCTCTATTCCTAGTTCAGATAATGGTATAGTAAATTACTGCCCTGAAAAGGCTCTGGGGCTATAGGCCCAGAAGACTATGCTTTATCAACAGTTGGGCTATACTTTAGAATAACTGCTTTCCTAGGATTTGTGGAAAAGGAACAAATGACTCTGGATCTGGACAGAGTCAGCTTTTTTTCCTACCATCAGTAGCACAGTGAATCCCCAGATTCATTTGCCACATGGATGGAAGATTTCCCAGGGTTTCTGGCCCAAATCAATCTTTTTATGTGTTGGAAAG